GTTCTGTAGTTAAAAAACCACTTAAAATAAAAAAGGACTGCAATATATAAAACCTACTGTAATCACATTATGTGTTTCTATGTTTATTGCGTGTATGGCCTATGTACCCCATGGTGTACTTCCATGAATACCACCTTCACTCTGTTAGAGCGGACACCGTATATAACGGACCCCCCCCCACATTACTCCACTGTGACGACGGTTTACTGTACAAGTATACTAGCACGTTCAGAACAAGGAGACACTAGCCGATGCATAACTAATAACAGTTAAGGCGCAATAAACGTAAAATAACAACAGGCCGAAACACGTTGCGACAACACAGAACTGCATATACGTACTTCAGACTAATATAACAGCTGTGTTGACGGTAAGTCAATCTACGTATCTCCCATTTAAGCCTTGGTTTTCCAAACGGTCTCTTTCTTTTAGGCCTTCCGATCACAATTCGGACGCATTTATGATGTGCCCTATGCGTGCTACATGCTCCAATTATCTCATCTTCCTCGATCTGACCGTCCTAATAATTTTTTGGTGATATGATGAAGCTCATCTGTGTGCAACTTCCCATTAACCCGAACAGTTCTATACGCGGATTCACGTAATCGCCAGATAAAAGTTTCTAAACCACATTCAGCGACGGTAGAGAGTACAGAAAGGAGCCCAGCGGCTGGGGTAGGCGACGCAGAGTAGGCACGTGCAGACGCGTTCAATTGAGATTAAATCACAAGCAAAAAGAGATGCCATTCACTGCAAGTTATCGGACAGATCGCAATGCAAGTGTTCAAAGAAAATGCTTTGGGCACCAGCATTAGGATCTCCCACAAAACAAGTGAAATGCCAGTCGCTGTCTATCTACAAATATACACGGGCACAAAGTGAACGCATCTTAGGGGCAAACTCTAAGACGGATAACCACGACAATGACATCACAAACGTGTGAAGCCTGAAGGGGCAGCAGAAACAGAAAATAAATTGGGGGAGTAGTGAGAGACGCTACATTTACGTATTTTAAGGGGAAGGAACAGAAAATGTTCTGGTTCTGTAGGTTCCCAGGCAATGCCCACTTGTCCTATTGATGCAGGTACGTTGGAAAGTGAAGAATGTGTTAGCAGGCGGACGTTGTTGTGAACAGAAACAAAGAATCTGAGTAGAGGCTTTGCTGTGTGTGATCGGAATTCTTACATAAGCTGAGGGTTACATATGAAGCATGACGTGCAAAGTGGAATTTTTGTTAATAACTCAGCATTAGCTACAGGACCTAAGGAATTAATCTAAATGATATATATAAAAATCCAGTGCGTACCTCAGAGGAAACACATTACGGCTCCATAACAAAGCCCAACCGGTTAATGCTGTTTAGGGAAATAATCGCTGTTTATTGTGAGAATCATACGGAACATACACATGCACTGTGACAACAAAAACAGATTTTTTAATGTTAAAGCAGGTGGTACTTTTAGTTACCACTGTGATTTATAGGATCAAAGTACAATAACATGCAATGATGTATTGAATATCATATTTAGTTGAATTCTTAATCGAAATTTGGTGTTTAGGGTATTCCAGAACAGGTTGCCGAAAGGAACATCTGGACTTGACAGGAAGTAGCAGGAGGACAGAAGGGGATTACATGATGAAGAGCTTCATAATTTCTAGTCTTCACCAAATATTAGCCTATTAGAATCATGAAGTAAGGCAAGATGGGATGGGTAAACTTTTGAATCAAAGTGAAACTGTCTTTACCCTTAACTTTCCCTCGTATTAACAAAGATGTGACTAAATTTGCTGCTTTACTTCTGAAGAAGCGATCAGCGTTTGAAATTTAGGCAAAGATATGCCTTGGTGAAAACTTGTAACTACATCATTGCCTCTGCACACATGAAATAAGCAGTGTATGAGACTAACCAACTCCGTGGAGTAGCGTTCTTTCGAGGTCAACCGATTCTCAAGTGGCCATGAATATCTCACCATTTCTGTAACTCGAGGGTTGATTAATGTGATGGTAGGACGCAGACAACGGTTCCTATCNCTAAATTTGCTGCTTTACTTCTGAAGAAGTGATCAGCGTTTGAAATGTAGGCAAAGATATGCCTTGGTGAAAACTTGCAACTACATCATTGCCTCTGCACACATGAAATAAAGCAGTGTATGAGACTAACCAACTCCGTGGAGTAGAGTTCTTTCGAGATCAACCGATTCTCAAGTGGCCATGAATATCTCGCAATTTCTGTGACTTGAGGCTTCATTAATGTGATGGTAGGACGCAGACAACGGTTCCTATCCCAATCCAGATGAATCCAGTCCACATCCGTACACACAATCATGAAATATATTTTACTAATATTGTATTGTAGCATCCTGTTGCATTTTTCACTTAGTATCAATAAAATTTAGTGTAAAACTTTAAAGTTATTAAGTTTTGTAGTATATTAGTATTGCTCATGAACCTGTGGCACTAACTCATACTAAATACCGTATTTACGCACGTATAGGCCGCGTGCGTGTATAGGCCGCAGCACAATTTTCAGACAGAAATTATAGAAAAAATAATTTTCTTGGAATATTATTNTTACTAATATTGTATTGTAGCATCCTGTTGCATTTTTCACTTAGTATCAATAAAATTTAGTGTAAAACTTTAAAGTTATTAAGTTTTGTAATATATTAGTATTGCTCATGGGCCTGTGGCACTAACTCATACTAAATATTTTAACATCCACCGAGAAATGTACGAGTATTTCACTCACAGATCAAACGCATCAGTAAGTATTTACAGCAGACTCAATAATTTCTTAATAATGAAAACGACCATACCGCCGTCGACAGAGCAAACATGATTTTGTGAATTATTTACAGGAGCCCAGGCTATACGGTTTCAAATGATGACTAGTAAATAATGAACTGGAAAGGACGTGGAAGGAACAAGGCGTTGCCGATTTACAGGTACTAACCCTGGTATTCACCTGGACAGATTCAGAAAAAAACACAAATAATCTGTTAAGATGGCCGGGCGCACGGCCGAGATTTGGTCCTGGACCTTCCGATCGAATGCAACGTTTGGTTATTACCCACTTCTTAAGAGCTTGGTTCGAAACCCACACATGGTCACTGTTATATTTACTTTCCATAAGGAAGGTCTATAAACTTTTAAATATGTTTCAAATACCCACATGCGGTAAAATCTGAAGTAAATATTCGTCACTTCTTATACCCAAATAATAATGAAAAGACGTAGTTCGTTGAGGCACTATGCTACATGCCGGATGGTCGCGGGTTCGATTCCCAATGAGGACACTGGATTCTTCAATTGACCTAATCCTTCCAGCCGCACTGTGGCCCTGGGGTCGACTCAGCCTCTAACGGAAATGAGTACCATGAGTCTTCCCGGGGGTAAAACGCGGCCGGCGCGTAAGGCTCACAACCTCATTGCCACCTATGAGCCGACTGTCTAGAATATGTGGGAACTTCGACGTCTGACAAATTTATGGGCCTCCACGGCCTGTTACAGAGATAATNTGAGTCTTCCCGGGGGTAAAAGGCGGCCGGCGCGTAAGGCTGACAACCTCATTGCCACCTATAAGCCGACTGTCTAGAACACGTGGGAACTTCAACGTCTGACAAATTTATGGGCCTCCACGGCCTGTTACAGAGATAATTTTACATTTTTTACCCTATCGGTACTTCTACCGTTTTTTAAAAATATTCACAACATCACACTGCAACACAGAATTCAACACCTCAGGCGATTGTTATACGTCGGAAATGTAAGCGACAAAAAATTCTTTTGAGGGACAATTCTCAACGGATATTTACAACAACAAAAAATCTATTAGTTTCGCAACGCCTAGCCTTCTGGCTGCATGTGACAGTTCTATAACCGCTAAGATAATTTTCATATAAAATAGAGAGGTTACCCTTGCATAAACAAATGTCTTCATTAATCAACTGACAACACGTTTTGGGCCCAGAGAGACTACCATCAGGTGATGTTAACTACCAAAATTTTATACTAGCATTATATGTATTCCGTCTCCATTTTTTTGTATTCCCCAAAAATCATCCGATGATGGCCTACCTGGGTCGAAACACGTTGTAATTTGATTAATGAAAAAATTTGTGTGACAGTAGCCCCTTCATTTTTACAGAATGTAAAATTGTAATATAAATTTTCATGTTGGGAAGTGCTGCTAAAATCTGTAAAAACGTTTCAATTTTGGTTGAAAACGGGCACTTCACACGGTGATATCCGCGCGTTTCTGTGGCCATCTGAAGCGTGACTCGCTGAATATTTATCGGAGCGAAAAATGGTTCGAACAAAAGTTTCAGAGAAAAAAAAAATAACTTCTTCTTGAAGTCTCGCAGTTTTCGATACAATTATACAGGGGTGGGCGTATACGCCAGAACTGTTATGGCATGTGTACATGTCCAAAATTGTTAAAGTGCTTATTTAACGATGCTGTCAGTATCAAGAATATATAAAATCGATGATGGGATAATCAATGAATGTGAGCCAGTTCGCGGAATGACAGTTGGCAGGGGAAACCGAAGTATTCTGAGAAAACCTGCCCCAGCGTCACTTTGTCCACCACAAATCCCACATGACAAATGGAATCGAATCTGGGTCGACGCGATAGGATTTCCCTTCTAACGGATTTAGTGGAACACGTGATATATTCGATAATATGCTTAAAATAATGCGTCGGTCACCTGTAAGGGCGAAGCATAATGAAACCACCTGTGAATTTACATAGGACCTCTTTACGGAACTGGGCAGAAAATCAGACGGATCTGCAGCACGTACGATCAGCAGCTATGCTGTGAACCGTCTCCCGTATTCAACTAGCATCGGATCGCATTGTTTAAGCCCCAAGCAGTAACTGTAGATCAATGCACATTAGAACTACTAGTCTAAAACAGAATTCCTGAAGATAGTTAAATTGAGATGTTACGCACGAACCAACCACGGACACTCACGAACAAAAGCAAACATGTCCTACCTTTGTTGCGGCTGATTGTGTGCCCGCTCTTGCCGACAGCAGTTGCGGCTACGGGAGAAGACGACGTCACGTCCGACGGAGGGCGTCCGTTCATAGTAACGACACCACGTGTACAGTCTACACCATTAATAGAAGGTTCTCGAAAAGGAGGAGGTCTATGATGAAGATGGTTCGGGGTTCCTTTCCCAATGTGTTGCGGCGGCATCGGTGGAGTAAGTGTTCTGACGCCCATCATGGAACCTATCGACGACGTCGGAGAAGCGTCTCGGCTCTTTGTTGTCAAGTTGAGTGGTTCGTTACTGAGCTCATCGTCTTCGTCCTCAGCGGAGAGCGAAGGGGGTGGGTGTGGGACAGAGCCGGGCGATGCTCTTCGCGATATCAGCGGCGGAGGCGTCGCTCTTATGGGCGTCGGGGCGACCAATACAGGCGGGGACGGCTTCTTGTTCCTCATATTAACATTGTTATTATTGTTACTGGGCTTGCGGGAGCTCCAGCCCATGATGTCGGATATGAAGTGTGGAGTTGGAGCTTTCGGCGGTTTGGCGTACACGTGTGGGTGCCACGAGTTTATGGCGGACGACGTCGAAATAGTGCCGTCCGTTGGAGAAACGACGCCGACTGTAGCTGTCACTCCAGTATAATGTCTCTTAGAGTCCATTGTCGATATCACTGTGGGCGTCGCTCTTAGTAAAGTAACGTCACTCGACGCTGGTGAGGACACAGCCCCTTCAGACGGGCTCCCCATTGGGCTGCCTTCATTGTTAATGACGTCACTGTTACTACTCTCACTACTAGTGCGGCTACCTCCATTGTTACGGCCCCGCACTGTATTGTTGTGAATGTTCTTGTTGCTCTTAGCAACAATGTTCGCGTGATTGTTCACACTGTTAATCACGGCGCCGTCACGTTGCTGTTGTTTCTGCTGCGGTTGTTGATGCTGTTTTGTTTGTTGTGGTTGTTGCATGCTGGGAGGAGTAAGAATGATCTCCAGTCACGAATCCCAAACATGAATTCATTCACCTCAAACGGTGAGAGGGAAAGAAATGAAACATGTTTGAACTTTGTAATTGCGGAAGGCATGCATGAACCAACACTGATGTATGACTATATTAGCACGAATTTTAAATGTTAAACACCTCTTCATATTTACGCTATAAAGCATACAGATGAGATCACGAATATAAATCTTTTTTTCTTTCCCATTATACCACTACGCAGCGTCTTCTAATGGGGGTCAATAGGCTCCAAACATTAACCATCTCAAAAGAGAATTTATTGACCCAAGCTGTTTCTCCATCGGGGTCTCTTGTCAGGAAAAACAGATTTTCTTCAGGGTAGGGTATAATCGGTCCACCAAAAACTAGTTAACAAGACATGCACTTTCTGTACTGATTAATCCTTTTCAGGGTAACAACATAGATCACTGACACACAACACAAATTATGTCTCTCGCTTTATAACACTCGTTTTTATCACTTATAAAACTTGTTACTTCACTATACACAAGTAGAGATATAACCAATCTAATGGGGCAACGTCTTGGAGAAAGGTTCGTTCCGTAGCATTTCCCGTTCTTCTAGCGGTATGACTAATAAGCCAAGACTTCATAAAATCAATTATATAATCCTCCACTCTTTACAGAACACAGAAATGTCGGCCAAGTCACACAGTCTGTCCCCCCATTTAAACACTGTACTAACAATTACATGTAAACACGAGATCACTGGACTGAATAAAGTATATTCTATGTTAAAAAACCAATAACACAAAGTTGCCTCTTTGTTTTCAAAGCAGTGCGTCAGAAATTTCACAGTATTGTCCGCGCCCCTTGACGTGACGCCACTAGGTAAGTTCAACTACACGTACTGAAAGTCTCGTAATATGCTTTACACTTGCTGTAACGAGCTGCCGCCGCGTGGTAAGAGCAGGTGATATTTATGCATTGGAGCTTTGCAGCCTCGCTGTCTGCAGAGCCACACAGCTCCAGAACCTACGCTGCCAGCGGTCGAACGATTACTGCTTACAGAACGGAATGGGGCTCGGTGTTTCGGTAAACGGCCGCCGGTAGCAGTAGTGGCGTCAAACACATCATCATCATCATCATCATCATCATCCCCTTGCCTAGCTTTGCTTGTTGATAGCCCTGTATAATAGGAATACTCTCCCCCTCTCCTGCCTCAGCTAAATTACCGTACCGTACGTCGTGCCACTCGCTTACTTTGTCGCTATTACGAGGTACTACTATCCGCACTGAAAACATACTGCCGTCACATCAACAAGTATTATGCTTTTATTTACGAGGTACAATACAATGACCAAAGAATACTTCTATATCGCATATTCTGTACGGCGTTACTATAGATATAAAAAAAATATATTACCCTTCAAAGTGTTAAATAACGAAAAATGTAACTCTTTGAAGTACGAAATTCATATAAACAATATATATAAATTCAGTTCATACCTCACAGGAAACACATTAACTCTCTGCTGCAAAGCCCAATTGGTTAATGCTGTTTAGGGAAATAATCGCTGTTTATTGTGAGAACCATATGGAACACACAAATACACTGCGTGGGCAGAATCCGTACTTCTTTAATGTCAGAGCAGAGTGGTTAATTTTGAATTCCTAATTATTTCTATGACACCATAATATCATATTTTAATGCATCGCTTGTTTTACAACGTGACATTAAAAAAATATGAACCAAACGTGCAGGCCCATTCTCATACAATAAACCCTAGAGACTAGAACCATTTCCCAGTTAACGCCGTGTCTCTAAGTAGGTTATCCTGCAACTTGCAGGCAGATGATGGGATGCTGATACACAAAGATCCTCGCCCCCTTTCGTAAGACAACCAACTTTCAAATCATGTCTCCGTAAAAAGGGCCTTGAGGTAAACTGTACTTAAAGAGCATTAAAGTAAATGTTCTGATACATTAATCCCCCCCCCCATTATTTATTTTATCTGCCACCTACCGAGGGAATGAAGACCATTTTCTTAAACACTCAATGGGGGTATGAAATATGACAACGTGTAAAATATCGAGGTAAAATTTCTGGGGTTCGAGTTGGCGAGTTTACCTAGAGAAGTGTACCGAAATCTGAAATTAATTATTTAAATGCGCTGCCCCGAAAAATCATCGTCGGCCCTCAAGCAGTCATAAAGCCTTTTTGTTCTACTTAATTTTCAGTAGATGACGGTTACAAATCTGCTCTTCGTTATCTGGTTTTATTTATATGTAGTTTAAGGATTGCCATCTTCCCGGATGAGACCCCATATAGTCTGGTAATAGTTCACTGATATTTCGAAGGTACGTACTGCTGCTATCTTCAGAGTCGAAGACACAATAGGCTTTCGCTTTCTTCTTGCTCGTTGGTTGTTTAAAATATATTTTCCACCCTGAAGATGGAAGCAGTGGTTTGTTTTATTTTCTTAACAGGAATACAGTTTCCTTGGAGAATACGTTTTGCATAATCCCAGTTAGTTTGTTGTCTTTTACATGCATCTATTTTATTTCTGATACATTATACATTTTATATTTTTTGTGTATTTTCAGAGCTTGCAAGTAATAGGCTACTGTTGCTTTCAGACCCTCCAATTAACGAATTAAACGAACAAACAATCGAACAGTCTGCCTCTACGTTCATAAAAACACCGTTATGATTTACAAGGACGGTGTTCACAATGCCCTTATCTTCATTTCTTCATGTAGCACGCAAGGGCGGGGGGAGATGACTGCATATAGGATTTTAGTGAGAAAGCCAGAAGGTAAGTGACAACCAGGAACACTTAGACGTACGTGGGATGATAATATTAAGAGAGGTAGGACGGGGTGGTATGGACCGGATTGATCTGGCTCAGGATAGACATCTGTGGAAAACTCTTGCGGGGTTCTGTAAAATGTTGGGAAATTTTTGAGTAGCTACGCAACTAGCGGCTTCTGAAGCTACTCAGACACTGCTTTGACTACAAACGGCTTGATTCAGTACCATCACACATGCGAGGAACCGCAATAGCTCTGTCGGTATAGCGACTGGATACAGGCTCAACGACGGAAGAGTCGCAGTTCGAGTCCTGGTAGGGTCAAGTATTTTCTCTTCTCCACGTCGTCCAGATCGGTTCTGGCGCCCATCCAGCCTCCTGTCCAATGGGTACCGGGGGCTCTTTATCTGGGAGTACAGCGGCCGGGGCGTGAAGCTGACCACTCACCTCCAGCTAGTGTCGTGGTCAAGAAAACACGGATCTATACATCCAAACCCCCGTACGTCTTCATGGCGTAGTGTTTAATCAGTTAAACACAGGGGCGACTTTACCATCACATATGTTACAACCACTTAAGCAATAATTGCTCTGTGTGGGCAAAAGCCATTAACAGAAACCAACTGCTGCAGTTACTGCTGTGCTGTAATGGTTGCATTGCTACTGGTCCGTATTACAAGTTTGCTGCTTGGATGGATATACATACCTTTTTGTGCACATGTCAATCGTACCAATGAAACAAATAGTTGAAGTCCAGCATTGAAAATTGTTTTCAAATGAAGTAAAATGTTTCTCGAACGGATAGTACCATAAGGTCGTTTTGTAATTTGTGTGCTATCCTAACACGATTCATACTGATTACAATATATATATATATATACACACACATCCACACACGCACGCATTGGTACAGTCTAGCTCAAGTAAAAATTAGACCTCTTTCTCGCGGAAACACATAATTATGCTTTTCAAAGAGAAACGACGAACAAAATCACTGAATGGTATGATGGCCCATATTATCTGTGTTAAAGAAAGTTGTGGTCCGGGAGTGACGGGGGTCGGGGAGGAAGAAGGGTTATAATTCCTTCGTTGAGTGAGCGCGCGTATATCATCACAAGTGGGGACTGTCTCTCTCTCTCTCTCATTCTATAAGCGCCCGCTCTCATCCTTCTCCTATTCATGTCCCATTACACTTCTCTCCCATTCTCCCCGAGTCACTCTCTACTCTCTTCAATCTAAAGAGAGGCTACGACAGTGACAAGCATTCGTTGCCATGGTGATTGCCCCCACCGGCATCGCCTTCCTACTATCTAAAATGAAAATATACAATTTCAAAATTGGGTTATCGCAATTGTTTACACCCACGTATTTCTTTACTATTATTAGCCAGAGTGAAACGACGTGCCGTGCGGAATATTAAATGGTATCCGCAGGCTACTAGATTCTCAGAAGCACCAGCGGGAGAGCAGTAAGAGACTGCAGTGGAAGCGTAAGGGAAAGGAGAAGTCATGGCATAAGCGAGACAGATTTTTTGGAAGGTCAGAAGTGGGAGGGAGAACACAATTTTGATACACGGTTCCCATGTTTCGTCTGCTCGTTCTTTTGATAACAGAGGCAGGAAAGTGTGAAACTCATATAATAATATTTAAAAATTAAATTTCTAGTGAACACATTACGTCTCCGCTACTAAGCCCAACCAGTCAACGCTGTTAGGGAAATAATTACTGTTTATTGTGAGCATCACACGAAACACATAAATACGAGTACACTGTGTGAGCAGAATGCAGTATTTTTTTCCTATTGCTAGTGGGGTGGGACTAAGTCCCTTGTACTGCGGCCACTTCTGACCTATTGTACCAGCCCCAGATGATAGGTGAGGGTAATTGTGGACCAATTGGTGGAATGAAAATTGGCAGGGGAAACCGAAGTACTCGGAGAAAACCTGCCCCAGCGCCACTTTGTCCACCACAAATCCCACTTGACCAGACCCGGGATCGAACTCGGGCCGCCGTAGTGGGAAGCCAGCGACTAATCGCTTGAGCTATTGTGCGGCCATCAGAATGCAGTATATATAAATTCAGTTTGTACCACATAGGAAACACATTACGTCTCCGCTACAAAGCTCAACCGGTTAATGCTGTTTAGGGAAATAATCGCTGTTTATTGTGAGAACCATACGGAACACATAAATACACTGTGTGGGCAGAATGCAGTATATATAAATTCAGTCCGTACCTCACAGGAAACACATTACGTCTCCGCTACAAAGCCCAACCGGTCAATGCTGTTTAGGGAAACAATCGCTGTTTATTGTGAGAGTCATACGGAACACACAAATACAGTGTGTGGGCGGAATACAGAGGTTCATAATGCTGACGCAAATGGTGCATATGATTACCGCTGTGCTTCAAAGGGACAAAACTACCACAGACTAGATCTGGGATTGGAAATTACTCCGACCAACGTGCTATGAATGTAAAACTGTAGATATTCAAGAGCTGAAATGTGTCTAGAAGAGTGTCGTCTTCTGAGATGTGACTCCGTGTGGTCTGGTAAATTATCTCAGATGAACAGGCTGTCTGCATAATCAACACAAATGTATGTATGGAAGCAATAGTAAAGACCTACCAGGCTACACGGCAACACATGACAGAAGACAATAATCTTCGTAGACTGAGGTGGTTTAATAACAGAACCGTGAGTAGAGGAAGTTGCATAATGAGCGGCTTCATAACTTGTACGTTTTACTAAGTACCTGTGAGGGTTGCGAAACAGTGCCGAAAATGAGATGGGTAGGACATGAATTATTCATGGAAGTATGATAAATACACACGATATATCGGTATGCAAACCTGTAGGAAAGAGGTGGGTTCGATGGTATAGTCGTAGATGGTGATATTATTAAAATGGATCTTGTAGCGACACGATAATAATGTGTTTTGAATTCATCCAGTCTAGGATAAGTGGCAGTGGTTGACCCATGTGTTTTCACGGAACGTTGATTAATTAAGCACAGGGACACCACCTTTTACTTTGTACGTGTTCAAATGGGAATTATTTTACGAAGGGATGATGTTCGTGAACAGCATAGTAAAGCAGAGAGGGGGGGGGGAGTTGAAACTAGCAGAGTGAGAGAGTGAATATATGAGAGTCAACAAGCAACGCGCAGGAAACAGCAAAGTGCCTGCCGCCTCCTATAATATACACTGTATAACTGCAGTAGAGACACACAATAACAAA